AAAAAAAAAAAAGAAATAATATTTACTGCAGACATACTATATTATCATAATCCTATAAGTTAGGCATTATAGATGATAGTAATTGGCAGGAAGAACCCACAGACATACCTACTATAATAATAACTTCAATATAAAGAGCTAACAATTACGAAGTATTTACTACGTGCTAAAGACTGTTCTAAGAACTATATATGTATAAACATTTAAATTTCACAACCCTCTGAGGTTAATAGCTCCACTATTCAGATGGGAAAACAGGCACAGAGTAATGTGCTCCACATTATTAACTAATATGCTCTACTGTTTGAGAGTTAAAATTCTTAATTTATATCTCTTTTTGAACCTTTGAACATTCCTAAATATGAGTCAAATGGAATATATTCACAACCCTATTTTTAATTCAAAGCAACAAAATATCCTGTTTATGCAGGTATATCACACTCCAGAATTAAGCCATTCACATGTGATTCTTTTCTTTCTCTACTCTACCTAACCCCGAAATATCCAATGAAGGTGTGGTTACTTAAATGAGCATTTCTGCCACAGCTTATTCCTAGTCTGATTCTTACTCTTCTCGTCTTCCTTTCTAATGAAAAGCTAATTAACACTGAAAAGTGTTTATTTAATCAAACTGTTCATTTTATAGCTCCATTTTGATTATAATAAGAACCAAAGGGTTTGGTACTTTTCTCTATCTAAATATTTGAAACCTATTTTGAATAAAAGAGTTTTTATTACTGTTCTTCACAGTGATTATGTGTCTTCACCGCTCTGGTAAAATAGCAGGGAAGCATGACTAGTCTTTCAGCCATTTAGTGTCAATTCTTGAGGGCAAGCTTTTATGTTTAATATATTCAAGTTTGGAAGTTCGAATAGGTAAATAGAATAGCTAAGGCTACAGAAGACATTATATATTGCTACTCTGTCTCACCCTGCCTTCCTTTTAACTTTTTCACACTCAACAGGGGAGGCCAATGGTGATGTGAGAGCAAATTCTATTTAAGATGTGAAGCCTCCTCTTTTGTCTCCATTCACCTTCTCATCATGACACTTTTGAAACTTGGATTTAGAACATAATTATTTCAGTTTTTGTTCTTAACAGATTATACTTTTGTATAGACTTTGTATGTCTATATAGGCTTCAAAAGCAAAATTCTATCTCCTATAATTCAAATTTGAACAGATGTGGGCTAAAGTTTGAGCTTGTCAATCCTCTTCTTAACAGATAAGAGTGGGGCCGTACCTTAAGAAAGCACACAGGAAAAACGGGCCCTAGGAAAGGAATAATTATTCTGGGGTGCTTCTCAATGACAGGATGTATTTCTGCCATCATCTTGGATCCCCCACCCCTGTCCCACATGATGCAGATATATCTCCCTCAATCCTCTAAATAAGAACCATTAAATATTAGGGGACATTCAAGTCAAACAGATTCATTACAGGACTACTTTACCTGTCTATTTCTCTTACACAATATATTACTTGATTTATGTAAGCATCAGTAAGCCACTACTAACAACAGAAGTTTGTGTGTCTCATTCCCAAATCATTATGGCAACAGTTTGGCTGTCTTCTCAATTGTGGCAGGATCCTCCCACAACAGTGAGTTTCACTAGCAGTTGTGCTCCCAATTCTGGACCTAAGGAGCCAGGGGAAAGCAGCATTGATGAATGCTGCACCTGTTCCCGTTGTGTGTAAACACCTTGCTTCCATTTACATTCTCTTACTGTTAAAGTCCATGAAGACTACCTAGGTCTGAATGACAAATGACATGTAAGTATCCTCATCTTAGTTCAAGATATCATATTATTCTTAGATTACTGCAGTGGTCTCCAAAACCCACCAATTTGCAGATTACAATTAGATCTTTTTGCTTTGTTACTCCCCTCTGAAAAAAGTCTTCAGTAGTCTCTCCCCCTTTGAAAAACTTTTTAGGGCCGGCCCGGTGGCACACTGCTACAGTGGGCCGCTTGGGAGTGCAGTGGCGCTCCCACCGAGGGTTCGGATCCCACATACAGACCGGTTCCCGCTCACTGGCTGAGCGAGGTGCGGGCGCAGCACCGAGGGTTGCGATCCCGTTGCCGGTCCCGGTCCGGTACGGGCGCGACACTGAGGGTTGCGATCCGTTGCCGGACACAAAAAAAGACAAAAAGGAAAAAAAAAAAAAGAAAAACTTTTTAGTAGTTCTGTAATGAATTCTCAAAGTTAGGGAGCTTTCATGAGTAGAAGATGGTAAAGAAAAGGAATAAGATCTGAAGGGCCTTTTAGATAAGCAAAGGACTTTCTATTACCTCTTTCCATATGAGAACA